CAACTGCTCTCTGTCTGATTGGCTATATCTTTTGATGATGATCTGTGATTGGTGGATATGTAGGACAGTTGGTGGTGGTGACAGTTCCTTCATTCTCACTTTAGCCGTTAAGCCCTCGAGCGTCCTAGACAAGGACCGAGGTGTGCTGTAACAGAGCTTGCGCTGATTCCTGGGAGCTTGCGCCTCCCCTCGATCGGTGTTGTTTGTGAGGAGACTCTACGAGTCGCCACACATGTCAGTGTGTTTTGTGTCGCGAGAATGTTCAACGACCGGTGCCGCGCCTGACGTTGTTTATGTCGCATTGCATGTGCTGGGCTCGAGATGCGTTTGTGGCTGGCCAGCGAAACGCACACGGCAAATGATGTTTTTGTGGGAATGAACAAGTCAGGCATCACAATCGCCCACAACGTCTGCGCTGGATCCGTTCCGTGCTCCTTTGAACCTTGCACACTGTTTTTGCACGTAAGGATGATACCCGCGGTGGAAAAGTTATATGTAGAGGTCCTTTCACTGTGGTGGATGCATCCATTGCTACACTCCCCTCGACGTGGCGCGCTCGATGGGCCCATGCACCCCATTCCATTGTCATCGCTGTGCAGTGGCTTTCGTTTCAAATGGCACGCATGTTGGGTACGTCGCCTCGTTAAACGAACGCATTGGCAGCACTGCATACACCGTCCAGCAGACCTCATGTCGTGAAGTGCGCAGCAATGGATGTCATGATTCGTTGGGCTAGCGTTGTGTCTGTGGCATCTGCTCACCCGACGTGAATTTACTCCAGCTGACCGTGTGTGATTGGTGTGGAGGACCATTGTAATGCTCCGATGCGACGATTTTTCTTTCAACTTTACTGCACCATCCCGTTGGTACTTGTGCCAAGGTGTGGCCATTTCGGCAAGTGCAAGGATTGGAATCGCGCCATGCATGAAATGAGGTGTTTGGTTCATGATGCGCTAGCGACTGTTTGGATGTTTCGTCCACTAGTAGACTGCTCAAAGCGATTTGACCACAATAGGTGAAGGGCTGGTTCTCGCAACCACATGCATCGCGGTGTATGATCTCAACTCTCGAATCGCATGCCAGCACCTCGACAAACACACATCGACGCCCCTGGCATGGTACACCTTCATGTTTGGGTCAATTTGTGCGACGTCTGGTGTAGAAGCACAGTTGTATTGATACATGCATGCATACAGTCGTCGAGACATCAGTATATGGCAACGATGTCATGACGGGTACGATTTCTATGTTCAAGTCGGTGCGGCAGAAACTCATGACACGACAAAAAATCTCGAGAAAGGCACGTCTATGTACCTCACTTGGCGAAATCGTTTGGTGGGACGTTGATGCCCCTTGAAAATTTTCAGAGATTCAATGCGTCCACTCTCTCTTGTCGCGCATGCCTTGGGCACTGTCGTGCATGTACTCTCGATAGTGACGGCTGCACGAGCTGCGCACACTAAAGTAGTACCTTGGGTGAACCTCTTCCTCCGTCAAGTGTCCAACAGCAGTAGTCAGAGTGTGAACAAAGAATCATGTTTGGCTGGGTTAAAGGGAGTGTGAAACAGCCATCGCGTCCACAATCGCTTGACACGTCGCAAAGAATTGGTCCTGGTCGTCTTGAGTGCGTTGTCTCTAAAATACAAATAATTTTGCACATTCAGGAATACGATCTCGTCAGCAAGGCGACCGTTGCAATGAGGGTTTTACACAGCCCGTTTGCCAGCCATGTCCTCGATCATTCACCGCAAAAACACCCCAAGCAATTATGTGCACTGAGCATACCGCTTCGTTATGCGCGGTGGCAGCCGCCAAATCCGCTGCTTCTTCGGCTGTCATGTCACTACTTCCAGGGGTGGCGACAGAGGACGTGGAGGACGGCGTGGTAAGAGTTGTGCCATCCATGGGATCATCGCATTTGACATCCAAAGACGTATCGAGTGCAGCATGGGCGGTCTGGACAGCATCCTTTGCATTCTGCACGATTCTAATGCCAAGCATGCAGCAAGAATTTTCGTGACAGGATTAAAACAGGATCAAGCAGACACCAGAGAAATCGGATCAAAGCAGATATGTATATGCGCTGCATTTCCAATATCAACATACGATTTCCCGCCGCAGCATCGACGAAGTCGATTGAGCGCGGGAGCAACATCTCGAAATCACTGCAATATTACGAGGAAAGGTTACAGAAGTCAGTCAATGTGGCTCCATCATGAGAAAAATAGCGGCGAAGGAGAAATGCTGCTGTAGTCACGTTAAGCATCACACCTTCATTTGAAGCCGACACAGACGAATACAGAGCACAAATCGAATTTCCAGCAAAATGACCAACGTACTGTCGTATTTCAGCCGAGGCATCTCTTCGGTCTTGGATCTGTTGCTTGAGCAGGTCAATGAGTGTTTCTCGGGCCTATCGTGTCGAGGTCAATATCAAATCGTCCCCAGTTCGTATACCTGATGGGGTCGATAAGCGTTGATGAGGTTGTGCATGTTGAGGAAGAGCTGTTCAATGTCGTCCAGCTTGGCGCTAACAGACCATGTGTGAGTCATCTGTGAGCAGGTGTCCGGAGGTCCAACTTGAACTTGGTCGGGTTGAGAATGAGGACGTCGATCAATTCCAAGAAGCTGTACATAAGCGAGCGATTCACTTTTTTCATTTCATCTTTCACGTTGTAGTCTTTCGGGTAGACCTTCTTATCGTCGGGCAGGAGATCAGGTACAGCATCCTCCGTGCTGTACGGCGTCCCAAACGAGTGGTACGTAGGTTTCAGAGGAGGAGGAGGAGTTGGCCCTGCATCGGCCCCATCTGTGTACAAGCTGAAGAAGACCGGCGGCGCTGGGAACGCCGACACGAGCTCTGGTTCCTCGACTTGCTGCATCGACGATGCCTTCGAGCGGTGGAATTCGACTACTTCGCCATTGCCTCATTTGATTGGCTTAAATTCGACGCTTCACCTCTGATTGGTTCAACTTTACGTCATCTTGATTGGTTGAATCTTTGGACTTTTTGTGCATTTGATTGGATAAATTTCCACACAAGTCGGGGTTGGAGCCACATGACGTGGCAAAATGTCGAGTCACGACCACAGCCACAACGATTTTGTCTTTGGTTCACATCGGCGACCACGGTCGTTTGGGGATGCGATTGCGCGCGATGAAGAGCGAATCGAGGCTCGACAAGAACATTCAGACGACTTGGATCGTGCGTGATCGGGAGCACTCTCCAGAGATAAACACAGGCGTGCACGGGTCGTTGAATGTCCCTCTTAAACATGTGAAATCGGTTCCAGGTTGGCAAAGAATGTTGCTGGCAACTCGGTTGCGTTTATTTCGAGTACGCATCAGAGGGCAGTGCGTGCGACTTTGAATCAATCGATGGAATGGTCGGCGCATAACCATCTCGCGCGTTGTGGCGCCACGAACAAACGAAAGGTTCAACCCAGCACGGTTAACAGACATGTCGATGGGAATTGTGTCTGAATACACTGGCGCTTCTATACGAAGTTTGTGCCTGGCTTGAGCGTATTCTGTTGAAATGTGGCGTTCGCCACGACTTTGCCACACCCTCCAAGCCAGACTCCCTTGGCCGCATGCCACAGTAGCTGTCCTCGGGTTCGAATGCCCCATTTGACCCGTCTTCCCCTGTGATGGTCCCCCATGAACACTCATGATGTGATATCTGGACATCTTACCGAAGTAATTTCCCGATTTTGGCAACAAATTCTTCTTCGAACACGCCATCAATCCCCAAAACAGTCGTCGCTGCGACGTGGTTGGTCTTGACTGTGCGCAGTTTTTCTTTTCGGCGGCGTTCACTTGCGAGGCGAAAATTCTCCCGTTTTGTCGCCATCATGTCCATGTATAAGTGCTGCATGTCGTATTCGTTGCAGTCGGGCCACACCTGCTGCACCGCTGTGACGAAGCTACGCATGAGATTTGTCACTGTATTCAACTCTGCGCGACGCAATCGTCGGAACGATGCAAAAGACGAGATGTGTTAAAAAGTAGCGTTCGTCGCAGCGTACCCGTCCATTTGGAGCAGGAGATTGGATGGATGGGAGCCGCTTGTGGCCATCAACACGTCCCGGAAAGCTCGGCGAATCGTGCCGTCCAACTCGAGCTCCGAGTTGCTCCATTGATACAACACATACGACAGGACCCAATCCATGTCGACGCTTGTCGCGTGATCTCGGTCGTGTTCGTTGAGATCATACTCGACCTATGTTGGGGGCCATGAAATCGGTGGCAATATTCTTGCCAAGAAATGAATATGAATGTTTTCGTCACTGGCTGGCAAGACGTCGACATCGCATCCACCAAACGGAATGAAGGGATAACCAATTGTGTACGTGTTGTCAACTGTGTTTGATGCAATAGCTGCCATACGAACACACCCGATCTAGACGAGATACATAGAGCATTCAAGGTTCATAGTACGCATGACGAAGCATCGTGAATGCTTGATACACAAGCTCATGATGCTATGCATGTCAAAGCACAAAACGGGAGAAATCCATTTTCAAGCCGTATTGCATGCTGACTTAGGGACCGTAGTCGGCCCAAGAGGGCTAAATGCCACGACAAATGCAACCTCAAGCATTCCTCGCACGTTGGAGTGCAACACCGTATTCCAAGCAGCTATGTGCCCCCCCCCGTCGCCCATGGTGGCATATCCAATGGAGCACCAATCACTTACCTTGGTTTGGATTTCAGGGAGGATGTACCCAAAATGTGTTTTCCACACCAACACGACGACATCGCGTGTCAACATCACGGGTCCATCAATTTCCTACGTTCATATCATGGATTCAAGGGTGCTGCAGTTTACGGTGTGTGTACCAGAACAGCTTGAAGCGATGTGACTGTTGGGTCCAACTCCAAAACATCTCCCAGAAAATCCAGCAACGTGGCCACGCCTTCCTCAGGTAGGTACGAGCACAGCGCTTCGTCGGGGAATATATTCAGAAACCGGCCAAATAGAAAAATGCGGGCGTCTTCCCACAATAAGTTGCCTATTCCATCGTACATCGTGACGATCGCGCTCATGGCTAAACTAGTGGCACAAAAACGGTACGTACAGCCACTTTTATCGGTGTCGTAGAGCGCAGTAAAGTTTTCGAGTTTCCGCCGCGAATAAATCACGCTCTTGACCAACTCGACCAAGTGGAAGTCCGTGAGGGACTTGAGGCCGAATTTGAACATAAAATACTCCCGAATTGACAAGGGAAACGTCATGTTGGGCTTTGTGCGTTCGCTGTCAAGCTTTCGAATATACCTGTGTCATGTTTAATGAGTTCTTGCAAAACTCAGGCATGAGATCGCTTGAATCGGTGTCTCGTACAGCGTCAGAATCGTATGCCCCAATGTGCGCTTGTTGAGCATTTTGTGCACTTTCGGGACCGAGTCCAGTAACGAACGTATACACGAGGGAATGGCCAAGATCTTTTTGCGCATGCGTGGGCTTTGTAGGGACTCTATTCATTGCAGGTTCATGGCATGCGCAACGAAATCACGGCCAGTACATTGCACAACCCGATTTATCTCTTTGGCACAGACCAAACAAAACACAAAATTGTAAACCGTTGATGACAGGTCAGACGCAATGTTACCGTCGAGCTCCAATTGTTGGTTTTCGTCGTCTCCCCGAGTAAGAGTTTCATCCGTTTGTGTTGTTTTGGCTTCCGTGCAAAACTAGTCAATGGAAAAGTCAAATTCATGGCTCGAATGAAGTGTTCGTTGCGATGGCAATAATGCCGCCAAGACCGATTTGTGAAAAGAATCCGTCGAATATCTGTATTCAAATTTGACGCGCACCATTTTCTCGACAAACGGGTTGCGATGGCTCGCAGCTTGGTGCTTCCACAAGATCGACACCAAATTCGAGTCGATGTACCGATCCAGATGACTGACGGTCGCCAGTTGATTTGAATTTTCCTGTTCGACCGCGCCGAACAACTTTTCCAAGTCGTCGACGACCGTTTCGAGAGGTGTGGCTTCTTGGTAGTGCTACAACCATATTTTTATCTAGTTTTCTTGCGAGCTTCGACACGATAGGTGTTTACCAAAATGTCGTGGTGCCGAATCAAGAACCCTTCCGCTGCCATGTCGTCGTCTTCGTCCTCTGAGTCTTGATGGGGCGTGTCCGTACCGTTTGCAGTGCTCGTGACGCGATCCAAGATTTTTTCCAGCCGTTCCTTTTCAAACACGGCGCGTCCCAGCCGGCGCTGCATCGTTTGCATCTACGTCACAAAGAACGTCATCGAATTTTCAAAACTTGAACTACTCGGTGCATGACGACGTGGAGCACGATCAAAGGACTCGCCGCATATGCGAGATGATCTGTTCACGTTGCGACATGACCATTCGGAATCGTGACAAAGTGAAAGTATGCACAGCATGAACGTATAAAAGTGAGCGATGGATTTATGTCCAATCGATCGATGTGGAAAATGTTACGTGATCTTACCTCGGCTTTTGTCTCTCGCAGCTCAGTCTTCAACGCCTCGACGGTGGCAGCCAGAGTGCTTACTTGTGCTGTCTGGTCGATGGAGCAATTCTACCCAAAGCAGCAAATATTTGCATCGGTGAATGGACTGTTAAGTGAAGGAATATCATGTGCAATACCTGGCTAAATCGGGTAAACTGGGCAAAGTCGCCCTGAACTTGCAGCTTTTCTTGAACTGCTGCCTGGCACACTTTTAGCAGCAACAGGACGTTCACGGAGGCCACGTCCCAAATCTACAACGCCACGTTGTCTGCGATTTCAACGACGAGTGCGTACTTACATCTGCGATTAACTTGCAGTGTTTGGGAGAAAATTGGGCCATGTGGTCCAGCACCTCGCGAAGCAAGCCCGAGCATGTCCCATGATACACGGAACACGTTTTGTGTGCACATTTGACGGAAGCGTCCGCCGTGAGTGTCGGGAGCTTGGCGAGACCTTGCGCGACAAACGTTTCGAGTCCCTGAACGAATTCGAATGGGTGTCCAAGCGTCGATGGGAATCGTTTACCTTTAGCTCATGGCTCATGACATGGTGCATGCTGCAGGAGCTCATGATGCTCGAGGCTAGGCGCTGAACCCAGTGAAACGGTGTCGTCGAAACGGTTCATTCGTAACGCATCGTTTCGTTCACGTGCCACAACGTGCACCGATGTGGCGGTGGCTTCACCCAACGTAGCACGGAGGTCGATTCCAAGCACGTGCATCCTTGTGCGAATGCCCAAATGAACTGATTGTGGGCCCAGACAAGTCACTTCCGACAACGGCTATGACCACATTCATTGAAATCGTGCAGGACAGAACTTATGCCTTTGACGCTTTTCACTCAGCTGGGCTTGGATAAATTTGGCTCGATCGGCGCTGCAGCCTACTCGAGCGTACACCCCATGGATTCCTCGCTCCGATCACTTGTCTCCCCAGGACACGATCTCGGCCAATTCGTTGTCAACTACGATGGGCACTGGATCTCCGCCGATGCATGAATCGTTCGATTTGCACCGGAGCACATCATGCCGTGATGAGTGTATCCTCCAACTTCGAAATGGCAGCGCACTTGTCGTTGTCGTCAATCGAAACGTCATCGACCAGCAAGAATTGATGATGACCCCACCAATGTCGCCCATGCCACGGACCCACGACGTTTTGGTGGTGAGTATGTATCTCACAAAACTTTGACTGGTGGTATACAGAATGTCCAACTCAAAATAAGCCAAGTCGTAATCGTTCAGCGTCCGATAGCCTGGCGACCGCTCGCCGCATTCACGATCTTGATGTCGGTCGTCACCAACGACATGAGATGAGATGCTGGGCAACATCTTCGTCCCAGCTGCAATGAGCAGAGGAATCTTTGTGCGGTCAACGCGGTCCCACGCCGCGATTGCCCGTTTTGCGTGAGGCGCAGCCCCGCCGTGAAAAGATTACATCCAGTCGGAGCTAATCTGTTCAATTGACTTCGTTGATGTGCGAGGCATCGCCGGCGATCGTATTACAGATGCATACTTGGACGAAAGTCTCGACATTCGAGCCGCTCGCTGTACAAACTCAAACTGTACATGATTTGGCTTGTGGCATTGTGAGGTCAGGTTTCGTTACCTTGTGATATCAATAGTTTGTTCAAGGGTTGTTCTACTCCACAGAGTAGTTGCAGTGTACAAATGGGGATCGAGACTCCGCGCCTTCAGTCACCGCATTTTCTGGATGCGAAGACGTAGTTGAATGATTCATGGAGGCACGCATCCGTGAAAAAACAACGTGCACCGCGTCCTCTTTGTCATGGTTGCTATCAAGAATTGCATGAATGCGACAGAAAGGCAAGAAATGCTCGAGAGGTTGCGAATGCAAGCACACGATAGAACGGATAGATCATTCAGTCGCACCAAAGTGGACGTGCAACCTACCGCTCTATTCGATGCTGCAAAAATGGACCTTCTCCACATCGTTCAACAGGCCTTGGCACAAAGCTCGAACGTGAACTGGATGAATAAAGATGAGGTGTGGTGTTGAGTCTACTCGACGAACTGACGTCATGTCGACGAAAGACCGCCTCAACGCCGATCCACGCTGCGTCCCGAAACAGTGGATGCCGTCAAGACACGCTCTTGACAACGACGCTGCGACTACGAGGGTGCCGTACCGACCATAGTGATGGTGCCTCAGTGAAATCAAGTAAATTACTTGGCTTATTCCGGAATGCACTTGCCCGACGACCCCTCTAACGAAAATGGTGATTGGTTTTTAGAAGGACTAGGCCGTCGAGAATCGTCGCAACTCCTTCCACTGCTTGTCACAGTTGGCAGGAACATCGGTCGAAATTTCGTCGAGTTCGTTGTGTACTCTGCGAGGGTGCGTGAAATCATTCAAGTATGGCACACGCTGAATCCTCACAAATCATAAAAGGATCCAACGAAATGTCTCGACTTTGATGCTTCAGACAAAATTCCAAGGTAGCAATAGTTGCATTTACGAACCAAGACATTACGCTTTGGAACAGGGCTAAAGTCACCAAGTGCATGAACGATTCATTCGGAACATGTCGTTTCTAGACGAAAACTCCACTTGGAGTGCGACCACTTCAGGTGCGTGCACTCCCCCAACTCACATCAATTATGTTGAACGACACGGGTCGAGCATCCCCACCGCCAGCATGTTATAGCTCTTGCGGGTATAGAGCCGACTCATTTTGACGCTCCGCCCACGTTGCAAACGCTTGTCGAGCTGCTTCCGCCTAAGGGAGTAGAGCATCATGACAGGTTTGGGCGCATGGTCCTATGCCTACGTAGCGAACATCCCGGACAAACAAGCGCACGTTTGACTCCATGAAGTACTTGGGGCAATGCATCGCGTACGTGGCTTTGTTCAACTGAAAGCACACTGACGCCGGTGTAGCGTGCTTTCGAAAGAATCGCATCGCTTGCATCGGGTCGCATTCCATATGGCCAAAATGGACTCGGTTCTTCTCAACAATAAGATGGCGCGGGTCCAGGTGCCCCACCGCCGCGATTTCGCTCTTGATTTGGCTCTCCGACCGGGCAGCCAAACGCGCCGTTACTTGTGTCGTTCCAACCCACTTGTACAATGGCTTGGTTGCAAGTCGCGTGAGAATTGCCCGGCTAGAAGCAAACCTGGGATCGTCGCTGCTTTCAATCAGCGCCTAAAATATGATTTAGACTCAATCATTGCGTTTGACATAGATGCATGTACGAGAACTCGATCGTCCAGGCGCTTGTACACGTTCTACAATCATCCCGATTGCAATTTTTAAAGACAAGTAAAAATTGTTGCATGTTACCATGTACAGCGGTGCTTCAGCGATACGAGCTCCTTGAATCTATGCATAAACAATATGCGTTTCATTGCAAGTCAAATGGGGTACGATGCAGCACAGTACCTGAAACCCAGCCATATCGGCCTCCAACAGAATATCGCAGATCATGTACTCAATGGCCCGGGTTGCCTATAGAACACAAGTCTGCATGAATGCCTTGAATGTACTTGAGTTCATCTTTTTGAACTCAGAGAACTCAAAGCACGATTGACGCGTACCTTGTGTTGATAAACCGCTTGGTGGAGGTCATACCGCGTTCGAAATACTTTCATAATTTGTTCGGCCATTTTGTCCGGCCAACACATGGTCAACTCGCCCGTGACGGCATCGGGCAACACGCGCATCGTCGAGAGCAACAAGTGTGTGTCGCAGCTTGCTTTCGCGCCAGTGTACTGAGCATCGCGCATGAAATAGTCGAGCTTATCAACATCCAAGCCAGTCTTCGCGTTGTTGACGACTTCGTACAAATATGGCATGGTAGGGCGGCCACAAAAATGTGAACAAGACGGCAACGGGTGACCAACGATCAGCTCTTGAATAAATTTGACATCAATCTCTTGAAGGCCGTACTGTGTCACGTCAATTTTGTACTCTGAGAGCAAGGCGCTCAAGACATCCAACGACCCTTTTTCATGTGTCCACCCGTTCATTTGAGGCATGCTCAACCCACGCTCTCTCAGCTGCTGCATAAAGATACCATCAAAAACGTGGCTGAATGGGCCATGACCTACTCAATCGATAAGTGTGCTGGGGAGGAGGGCGAACGAAGGAACTCGATGGCGGGGTATCGAGTCTTTTGGAGAAAGTGGATCCAAATGCACGCAACTCATTGGATGAAGATGTAATGGACAGGATGAATCGAGTGGAGTCTCACCTAAGTCATGGCATAATCCAGCAATTTTGACACACAGAATGTCTTGGTCGGTGATGCCCAACCACGGTTGGTGCTGGCGCAGTTGGGACAGCATCAACTCGGCAAGGTGGGCGACGCCAACGGAATGCTCAAAGCGGGAGTGCGTAGCACTCATGTAAACAAAGTACGAAGCTCCCAGCTGCTTTAGGTGACGAAGGCGCTGAAACTACAGTCACGATGAACAACGAGTGGAATTGCGAACGGTATACGTGGACGGTGTCGATGATCGCCATGCACAGAGGTTCGAGGTAAATGCACCCATGGACGCTATCCTTGATCTAGTCGAGATAATATCGCGACATCGTGTCAACGTTTTGAGAGATGAAGAGCATACCATCTTCCGCGTCTCCAAAGGACTGTGGAATCCCAACTCGGAGGTCGGATCTATCCAAGTGCACGAAGTGTCAATGCTTTGGGTACAAGGAGTGTCGCCGAAACCGACGTCACAGAGAGAAGTATCGTCAAACACGGTACTCTCTTGACTCCATTTCTGCGTCAGTCTCGTCCTATGCATCCTCACATCGTTTCACGCGCTTCGTCGGTGTCTCGTCGACCGAGGCACCACTGTCGCGCAACTTCTGTGATTTACTCAAGGGGGTGTAGGCCTTCCACGTCGCCACCGTGGACGACTTTTTCTGTTGCTGGAAGAGCTGCGGGATCGTCCCTTGCCGCATCGCCGCCATGATGCAATCTTCCAGCGCGCAAAACCGTATTGAAAGTCACAGGGAATCAAGACCCGTGGCCATTCATACTCTTTTTCAATCGAACACACTGACAGTTTGTATATTAAATTTCTTTTTCCAATCTTTTGTTCGGGTTTTGTGTCGAATCTATTTTTAGATTTCTGCATCTTGACGTCTTCAACATCGCAACGTCCCATTCTGCAGCAATTTTATTCCGATTCCGTTCGCCGTACGGCATGCATTGCCACGAGAAACATAGCAAATATGGCCCGTGTTCCATCTCGCCTCGACAGGGACAACTACATGCCCGTGCGGTCCAAACGGGGTCAAGCGCAATGGAAGCGAGACGCCAACAAGGCATGGTTGCCGGATGGAGAGGGCAGCGATACGAGCGAGGGATTAATATGAATTCCACCCACTGCATACAAATTCCTATATAAATATTAAACGCGACAAGAAAAGCCAACGGACACAACCGTGGGTTTTCACCCAGCATGCCGTTCCTGGTGACATGGGGCAACGCATATTTGGTCAAGAGGTCATTTTTATAGATTTAGATCGTCGTCGTCATGGACGAGGCGATGTCGACTACCGCTTGCCTTCGTCCGAGCTGTCGTAGTTGGGGTCGCGTCGGTCCAAAGCCGCATCGGCTTCCGCATGTTCGAGAACGCTTCCCCAGTTATGGCCGCCGGCGCCGCCTTTCTTGGGTTCAGCGCCCGACCCGGCTCGGCCTCGCGACTGGCGGTCCTTGTGGTCGTTCTTCTTGTTCTTCAGCTCGCGGCTCACGGGCATCGTGGTCAACGTGGTCTTGGCGGTTGCGCGCAAATTCAATTCTGACGACAAACCCAGCAAAAAAATAGCTGCAAAAGAAACGCTGTACAGCTGGAGCCAATCAAAACGTCGCCCACACAAAGTACTGCTCTCTGATTGGTCCATAACACTGTCGACCTCCACACGTGATAAAAATCTACCAATCACATCGCGGCTACAGTGATACCCGCACGAAAACTCGGCCCAACTTCAACCTGCGCAAAACGATGATGACAAGTTGGGGCGATGCTGACGGGCGCGCATGTCTTCTCGGACGCAAAAAGGCGCACGAGTTTGTGTCGCGTTGCATAGGATGGTGGCGGTCTCTATTGTGCCTCCGTGCCGTGGGTTTGTTTATGTGGTGGTGACATCTCCATGGAGTTTCCACTTCGAGAAACGTCGATCGACATCAAGCACGTGCGTGTACCGTGTAGTGTATATTATTATGGACAGTCACCAAACCATTATCCGACCGAACAGATTTTCGGATAATGTATTTTATTGTGGACATACAAACTTCAACTTCATTCTATTTCGCATGGAACTGCCTTGAAGCATTGAGTATTGACTGTTATCAATTTCTAAAGGAATCAACGTTCAAAAGGAAGAATTGCCAAAATATTATATACAAGTTGCAAGTCAATTTTCCTATTACAATTCAATATGTTCAGACTCCTCGGTTGCTTCACACTGGTCAATGTCTCTCGCAGGATGAATGGTTTCATCGATAGCCATGCTCGTCATCAAATCACCAAGTACGTCATCGTCCACTGCACCGTCTTGCTCAGCCACGTCTTCAACAGGGCCAACCGCTAGCTGACACTTTCGAAATCCATTTCGAATGATGCCGTCGGGCAAGTCCTTCCACACACCGCAAATCCATGACACAATTGTAGATCGCGATGGCCCTCGAAGCACCAGGTTGGTCCCGCTCGCCCTGCTGTTGCGGACTTGACGCCGTATCTCGTCCAGCCAGTTCTGTCGGAGCGCGGACTTCAATGGGCGGATCCAAGCGACGTCCGCCGGTTGGCACAACCAGGTAAAGCGCGGCGGTACACGTACCAGGAGCACATTGATGGACTCGCCATAGGCCACAACCTCGTCCGTGAAATGCGCGCTAAAGTCATCCCACAACAGGATGACCTTCGTCTCTCGGTCTGGTCTTGCCTCGAAGTGGAACTTCAAGAAGGCCAACGACAGGTCAGCGTTCCACCATGCTGATGGATTACCGAAGATCCGGCACCCGTGCTCGTGCTGCAGAGACTCGACGTCTTTCCAAACTTGCTTCCCGAAGCCATTCCGCAAGGTCAGATTCTCTTGTACGACTTCCTTCTTCTTTGACTTGGTCGTCTTCAGCACCAAGAAGAGCGCATGCTTGGTCCCATCCGAGTCTGCCAGAAGCATGGCTGTTGCCCTCTCTTTGGTCTTCCCGCCACACCTGACCCACACTGTGTCTTCCTTGGTCGGGTTCAGAGTCTTCGTCGGGAGGTACTCGTAGTTTACCCCGGTTTGATCTGCATTGTAGATCTTCGTCACGTTGTGGTCCACGATCAGCTGCTGGACGTGTGCCGCGAACTCAGCAAGGACGTTGGTGCCGTCGGCATTGGAGTCTTGCCCAATCCTCGTCTTGGTGCGGAAGGTCAGGTCGTGCCGTTTCTTGAAACCCTTGATCCAGTGCCAGCCGGCCTTGAACTCGTCTTCGGAAAGCCCAACGTCTATGGCGGCCTCCAAGGCCATCATGCGCAGCATGGCATAGGTCACAGGGATGCCGTCTTTCCGCATTCCAAGGACCCAACGCGCAAGCTGCTCTTCGACATCAAAGGGCAACGTCGTCCCGGTGCCTCGTGCACGAACAGTCATGTACTTGCCCGTGGTGGCACACTTGGCTATGCGTTCAATGCGATCTTTAGCTCTGATCCACATGTACACTTTCTTCCGCGTGCTTTCACGCTCTGTCAACGAACTTCTAGCACAGTAT